CAAATAGCGGGAAAAACGACTACCATAAATAAAAACCCAACCACACTTACTTGGTGTAATAAGCGCCGTAACCTCCAGAAGGAGGAAGGTCTGGTAACCCCTCCTTAGCCAAGAACCAGCAAAGAAGGACGAACATCGCGATGGGCGCGTCTGCCTTGCAGACAAAGAGTGCGATGTGGAGGCAGCAAATGATGTGCCGGGTAGAAGCATCCGCCGTCTGCTACCGAGTGATCGTTGCTTGCTTTTCTTTGGCCGCCTCTGCTGTCGCCTCGTTGTTGAGTGCCTGTTTGTGGGCTCGGGTAGACGAGTGAGTGCGGATTCTCCCTATCTGCAAGTCTCGACCACCGTCACCCCTCACCCCGTTGGCAGTGTGAGCGGTTGGATCTTCGTGCTTCACGCAAATGGCAGATTTCAAAGACGGCCTACCGTTAGCCATGCGATTTAGTCGCAGCCATCTGAATTTACCTGCCCACTGCGTGTCAAAGGTGTCCTTAATCACTTCGTACTCAGCTTCAGCAGTCGCGGTGGGAGGCTTCGGCTCGTCAGGAGCAGCAGGCCATGTTGGTGATGCCGCCTTTCGGGGAGGAGGGGCGCCCCAGAGCCTATGCTGCGTGTAGGTCGCACCAACACGATGTCGCTTCACGGGCGTGCTGTTAACAGTTGACGGTGACGCCGTGTATGGCTTCGACGAGCCTTCGCCACCGCCAGGAACTAGCACCAGACATGGGTGTGGATCAAACACCGTCGGTGAGTTCGACGGCTCGAACGGATAAACGGTTCCTACGTGACATTCCGGAGAGGCTTCACGCGGTGGCTGTGAGATGGGAACGCTATAGTTTTCTCGGTGGCGGAGTAAAACTCCCAGCACGGAGAGGTCGTTTCTGGTGCTACCAGGCGGATCTGGCTGTGCAGCAGGCATGTTTGAGAGACCCTGCCGAGAAGGAAGAGAACGGTGAACAAGAAAGGGTCCCCTTGGGAAAGCACGAACCACACCAAGCCCCTTACTGAGTGATGCCCGCGCAGCGTGGGAAATGCATGGCTGGTACTGCAGCACAACAACGACTGCCATGTTATGCGTAGGACACCACGAAACACAGTTGGCGCGCTTAATGGCACAGTTGGCAATGGGATTGGCGTGGTGTGGCAGGATTCCGGGGTGCGTTGGCTGAAGTGTGGCTCAAACAACCAATAGGAAGAAGAGGCGCCCCGCCGACATTTTTTTTCCGCCGCCTGTGGTCGAAAACGACAAGGGAGGCGGTGGGACCATGTAACGATTTGTCAGGACGTTAAGTGTGGCCGGATCCTCGGTACGAAAGATCCGGTATCAGTGTAATGCACAGCGAACCCTGTACAGGCAGGGTAACAAAACCGGTGTCAGTGTAAAACAAAAGTTATCCTTTTTTCTCTAGGGTAAAAATCTTGGTACACTGATTTTGCAAGGGTAACTGCCAAAAAACGGCCGCCCATCAGGGCAAAAAGGGTATTTTACCCTGATATTTTGGGCCCTGAATAGGGCTCAGGGCAGGCCCTACGATATCAGGAATTTTTCCCTGAAATTCCTGATTTTCTGCCTAGTTTTGTGTACCTACACTGATTTTTCAGTGTTGAGATTTTTGTGACACTGATTTTCCAGCCTTTATTTCATAGCTAACACTGACTTTTCAGTCTTTTATCGAAGTGTACACTGAATGCACATTCCGAATCCTTCCCGTAAAACACCCGAGAGATTCAGTCAACCAACATTTCCACATTGTACACGTAAAACAACGTAAGACACTGACGGCTGACAGGATGAACTGTCCAGCGGTTAGTGAAATTGATACCGAATAGTAAAGTTCTCGGTTCGAATCCCTCGGCTGTCATGTTTCGTTAAGACTACTCTGATATAAAAGGCATGATGCGATCGACAATTCAGGCTTGTGTTTTTAGGAACCCTGAAAATTCAGGCTTTTTTTTTTCACAGGGACCCTGATGTATCAACGTCCCTAAATGTGAATCTGAGGGCCTGGCTCAGGGCGTAACCCAGTGAAGTGTCAAAAGGGCTAGTGTCATGACATCTTTCTTGGACCAATCGCGAGGCGAGAATGAGTTGGTGTCATGACACTAGCCCTCTTGACACTTGGCTGGGATACGCCCAGGCCCTACGATATCAGGAATTTTCCCCTGAAATTCCTGATTTTCAGCCTACTTTTGTGTACCTACACTGATTTTTCAGTGTGTAGATTTTTGTGATACTGATTTTTCAGCCTTCATTTCATAGTTAACACTGATTTTTCAGCCTTTTATCGAAGTGTACACTGAATCCACATTCCTAATCGGGAAAATATGCGAATGGTAACATACATGGGGCTTTATAACACGTACGGTAACCATAACAATGAATTTTCACGCGTTTGGTAACTCGATTCACGCGTTTGGTAACTATACACTGGCAAGCCATCACGCGAATGGTAACTAGAAGAAACCCTCGTCCAACTTGACCCTGATTCTGGTTTTTCCCGCTCGCGCCAGACTGAATTGACGAGTCCTGAAGCACGAAATTCTGACACACTTTCCGAAATTCTGACACACTTTCCGAAATTCTGACACACTTTCCGAAATTCGGACTATTTTGTAAACAGTTGCTGTTTTGAAAACCGTTTCTCATATAACGCTGATATTCTGGCGCTCGCGGAAAACTGATTTTACTTAATTCTATCGAACAACCGGGGCAAAAAATATATACCCCTTTCGGATGGCAAATGATTTTGAGAGCATCAACCCTAAACTCCTTGCGACAGGGCGTTCAATGCTATTTCTACAATAAAGGCATGCCATTCGGAAGGATGTATTATTTTCTCACCTCCAAAATTATCCCACGCTGCACTAATCACACATTTATTTTTTATAAAAGTATTGTCGCTTTTCCGGGAAAATTTCATCATTTTGCAATTATGCAATCATGCTTGCAAGAATATTATTGTACTTGTTAGTACTATATTTCAGAGCTTAAAATAGATATGAAACGGCTCTGAAACTATTTGGTCCGTGGTAATTGAACAAACGCGATCCTTCAAAGTCACGGCGGGAATCGTTCAAGATCGATTAAACGGTGCGTGAAATATTTCAATTTAACAAATTCCTCTTAGTCAGGATCATTTCGGCAGGAGTTTCATCTAGTTACCATTCGCGTGATCATTCGCCTGTGCTAAGTTACCAATTGCGTGAAACGAGTTACCAAACGCGTGAAAATGCACTGTAATAGTTACTGTACGCGTTAAAGAGCCCCATGTATGTTACCATTGACATACTTTCCCTTCCTAATCCTTTCTGAAAAACGCCCGAGATGACCAGTACTCCAACAATTTGTGTTCGTCAACGTTACAAACAGATCGCCAACAGCTTGGTATGTCTCAGTTGTGGGTGATAGTACCGTTGAAGTGTAAGGTTTGCGGCTCGAGGCCCCGAGCTGTCATATCCCGAAAGTGATCGGTCACTGATCGAAGATATTATGTGGGTGAAAATAATAGTTTTTCAGAGATAACCCTGATGAAGCAGGCATTTTTTTTTAGGAACACTGAAAATCAGCCTTTTTTTCACAGGGACCTTGATGCATCAACGTCCCTAAAAGTGAATCTGAGGGCCTCCTCAGATTCACTTTTAGGGACGTTGATGCATCAGGGTCCCTGTGAAAAAAAGCCTGAATTTTCAGGGTTCCAAAAAAAAATAGCCTGAATTTTCAGGGTTTCTAAAAACAAATGCCTGAATATCCTATCACATTATGCATTTGTACAAGAGATTAGCCTTCACGAAACATGACAGCCGAGGGATTCGTACCGTTGAACTACCGTATAGCCCCGGATATAAGCGCATATGCGCTTATAATAAAATCATTTTTTTAGGGGGTGGCGCTTGTAGTTGAGTAACGGCCATAAGCGCCGGCGCTTATATAATGACAATACAAAATTATATATTTAGAGCACCAAATTGTATCATTTCCTTTTTGCCATTTCAACCGAGTCGAATTTTTTTGGCGTCACAAAGCAGAATCGCGCGCGAGCGATATTCTGCCAGCACACAGAGGAAAACACACGTCATGCCAGCACATCCTGACTGGACGCGCAGCCAGTCAGGTCTTCGAGAGTCAAACGAAGCGAAATTGAAATATGACTCGCTGCAAAATGAATCTCGTTAATGTTCTAAGCAATATTTTAAATTTAAATTACACATGCGCTTATAATAAGTAAAGGATTTTTAGGGGGGGCGCTTATAATCGAGGAACGGCCATAAGCGCCATGCTCCAGATAGAAGCGCCGGCGCTTGTAATAGGCCGGCGCCTATATCCGGGGCCATACGGTAACCATTCGGTATCAGTTTCGCTAACCACTAAGACAGTTAAACCTGTCAACAGTCAGTGTCTGTTCTTTAGACAATATAAAATACAAATGTTGGTTGACTGAATCTCTCGGGTGTTTTACGGGAAGGAGTCGGAATGTGCATTCAGTGTACACTTTGATAAAAGTCTGAAAAATCAGTGTTAGCTATGAAGTAAAGGCTGAAAAAATCAGTGTCACAAAAATCTCAACACTGAAAAATCAGTGTAGGTACAAAAATCTAGGCTGAAAATCAGGAATTTCAGGGGAAAATTCCTGATATCGTAGGGCCTGCTGGATACGCCCTCAAACATGATTACAATTGAAAAAGGCACAGACATGCGAATAAATACTGCAGAGGTGTGCATACCTTGCCTCACATTGCATCGTTTTCCACGATGGGGCAATCCTCGCTTGTTCACTCCATTGCACTTATATTTCGAGCGGTACCAAGCTTTCCGGTACATCCTCTAGTGATCGCATCTGTTAGGATACACGATGTTTATCGCTACTAGTAACTAGTGACAGTGAACAGTAAGTCCACAATCCTACCTAGCGTCCCGCATGCATGCATTTTCAGCGCAAAGGCCTTCCATCAGCAGCAGGCAATGGTGGAGTGTCACTGCTTGCCGTCAGCGTCAGCGTCGCCCTTGCCCCTGGCGTGGCGCAGGCGCTCCTTCTCCTCCTCCACCTGCGCCAGCATGGCCTCCAGCTCCGCCTCCGGCATCGCCTCCAGCCGCTTCTGCTCCGCCCACCACCGTCATCGTGGTGGGTGGTTGGTACGGGGGAAAGAGATGCGAGTTTGAAATGAGTGACACGATGGGTAACAAATGGATGACCAAATCGGTTATTAAAAAGTGTAAATCAATAAGGTTGGTTAGTATGGGTGATGGGAATGGATGATGGGAATGGGTGATGCGAATGGGCGATGGGAATGGGTGATGGGAATGGGTGATGGGAAGGGGTGATGGGAATGGGTGATGGGAATGGGTGATGAAATGGGTGATGGGAATGGGTGATGGGAATGGGTGATGGGAATGGGTGATGGGAATGGGTGATGGGAATGGGTGATGGGAATGGGTGATGGGATGGGTGATGGGAATGGGTGATGGGAATGGGTGATGGGAATGGGTGATGGGAATGGGTGATGGGAATGGGTGATGGGAATGGGTGATGGGATGGGTGTGCAGCGGCATGCAGAGGAGTGGTGGAATGACGGACCTTCATAACAGCGTCCTCGTAGTCCTTGAGCTGCTTCACATACGTCATCTCCTTATTGCCCACTCGCCACACATAGCTGGCCGTCCACACCAAGCACAGCCCCAACACCAGCACCAGCTGCACCACACTGCCCGACTGGAACGAGTCAAACCCCGCCAACTGACCACGAGGGGGGGACGGGGGGAGGGGAGATGAGGATTGCTCAGGTACTGCCACTCCCAACATTACGTCCCCAGGGCGTAACAAACGAATGTGAGAAAGAGAAAAAATGAAAGAAAAGAAAAGAAAAAATAGAAAGAAATAAAAGAGTAGACACCAAAATTCGAAGGAACTTGGCAGTGTACCGAATTCACCCTGCCGTGCTACCTGTGTCACCTCCAGGCGTCCTCACCTCCAGGCGTCCTCACCTCCAGGCGTCCTCACCTCCAGCCGTGCTCACCTCGAGGCCCTCCTGTCTCACCTCGAGGCCCTCCTGTCTCACCTCGAGGCCCTCCTGTCTCACCTCGAGGCCCTCCTGTCTCACCTCAGCCGTGCTCACCTCCAGCCGTGCTCACCTCCAGCCGTGCTCACCTCGAGGCCCTCCTGGCGGTACTCACCTCGAGGCCTCCTCACCTCGAGCCGTGCTCACCTCGAGGCCGTACTTGAGGGCGACACCAGCGACGGTGATGCCGACGCCGATGAGAATCACGTCCAGCCGCGTGTAGCCGAAGGGCGGCTGGGGGATGCACCGCCATGCACACACGGGAGAGGGAGGGCGGGTGGGATGGGAGGCAAGGGAGGATGTGCGGATGGTGCCCCATGATGATGGTGCCCCATGAGGTGGTGCCCCATGATGGTGGTGCCCCATGATGGTGGTGCCCCATGATGATGGTGCCCCATGATGATGGTGCCCCATGATGGTGGTGCCCCATGATGATGGTGCCCCATGATGGTGCCCCATGATGGTGCCCCATGATGATGATGCCCCATGATGATGGTGCCCCATGATGATGGTGCCCCATGATGGTCCCTCCCTCGCTCCCTCGCTCCCTCGCTCCCTCGCTCCCTCGCTCCCTCGCTCCCTCGCTCCCTCGCTCCCTCGCTCCCTCGCTCCCTCGCTCCCTCGCTCCCTCGCTCCCTCGCTCCCTCGCTCCCTCGCTCCCTCGCTCCCTCGCTCCCTCGCTCCCTCGCTCCCTCGCTCCCTCGCTCCCTCGCTCCCTCGCTCCCTCGCTCCCTCGCTCCCTCGCTCCCTCGCTCCCTCGCTCCCTCGCTCCCTCGCTCCCTCGCTCCCTCGCTCCCTCGCTCCCTCGCTCCCTCGCTCCCTCGCTCCCTCGCTCCCTCGCTCCCTCCCTCCCTCCCTCCCTCCCTCCCTCCCTCCCTCCCTCCCTCCCTCCCTCCCTCCCTCCCTCCCTCCCTCCCTCCCTCCCTCCCTCCCTCCCTCCCTCCCTCCCTCCCTCCCTCCCTCCCTCCCCCGCATCTCACCCTCCCCCGCATCTCACCCTCCCCTCTGGCTTCTCTGGTTGCGCCTCTGCCCGCACGCCATTCCCCCTCTTCCCCGCCGCCCCCAGCCCCACTCTCCCCTGCTCTCCGATGTGCGCCCGGCGGGGGAGAAGCGGAGGCGCGCGTTGGGAAAAGAGAGGCGGACGAGGAAGGAATGCGGAGCGTAGAGGCGCGGAGGCGGGAGAAGCGACGCCTGCTGGAGGCGGAGGGGAGAGACGGTAGAGGGGAAATAGCAACCTAAGATGGAGGGAAAACGAAGGGTTGGCAAGATGAAAGACCATTTAAGGCGAAAGGCTCGGAGCGAACGCGCGTAAGATAGGAGGCGCGCGCCGCGTGGTCGAGCGAGGTGCGACGCGAGGCAACGTCGGAAGCGACGCACGGCGGACAGGTGCTCGAAGCGGATGGAATGACGACGAAAACGAAGGTGCGTTCGGAGCGCGAGGGAAGGCGCGCGGTGGCGCGAGGTCGCTGACCTCTGCCGCTGATGGAGTAGGGAAGCAGAGAAGAGGCGGCGCCGATGACGAGAGCTGAAGCCATGGCGGCAAGGAAAGTTTTGAAAGTGGAGATGGTGGGCAAAAAAAGTCGGTAGTTCGTACGCTGGTGCTTGTTAGGGCGTGTAAGGTCCCCCAACACGGTGTTTGGTGGCCACAACAATTCCGGGTTTGGTGGTCGCTATAACGAAGCTGTCGGATTGAGGTTCGGCCAACATCATACATACTCAGATTAGTCCCAAGTGGGTTCTCAGGTGTAATCAACCTGGAGTTCCTCAACGTTGATTGGTCGTCGCTTTGTAGTCACATTTCTCGCGCTGGTCGAACTCTTTAGGCAGTGACAAAAACAGAACCATCCAAATTACCCTCCCGACTTGGATATGTTAGATTAAAGTACGGGAATTTTCGGCAGGGCTGAAAAATATAAAACCCTTAGGGAATCTGGACGCATTTTCGGGAGGGATCAACCCTAAACATGGGAAAGGGCATCGTTCTTAGGGTTGATGCCTCCCTAGTCGCATCCCTTTCCGATTGGGTTATATTTTTGGGTTAGGTGGGGTGCAATATATTTTTTCCAAAATATTGGGCGACTTCCCGTATTTAGGGTTGATCTGTCCCGAAATTCATCTAGGTTCGCTACAGGTTTTGTTTTTCAAGTGCTGTAATTTGTTTAGTGACTGTATACAGAAAACAACTAGAATAACCTAGTACTATATCGGGAAACTGTGTTTCTGTTGGTGATTACATATGAGAAACCGCTCGGGAATAATCTGAGTATGTATGATATTGGCCGATTAAGGTCTGTTGTGGTTGCCGAAATTCCGCGATGGTATCGTCCAAACACAACTGAGGGCGCATTCGTAGCCCATGTCAGACATCAGGTCAGACCCGAAGTGGAGGCTCGGAAGACCCGAAGTGGGTCGTTTGTGAGGCAAATCCGAGTTCGGATGAGCCAAATTGGAGACTAAGGGCTTTTGACCTGAAGTCTGACACGGGCCACGAATGTACCCTGACATTGTCACTCTGTTTTTTGGTTACGCATTCACCCTCCGGTCAAGATGCCCCCAGACGCCTCTGTTTACACCGCGACCAGACCCTCACATTCATTTTAGGCTACACTGATGCATCAGGGCTGTTTAGTAGAAAAGCAAAATTTGTCCTGATTCATCAGTGCTACATGGGTAAGGTACCTTGATTTGTCAGTGCTATTTTTTGGGTTGCGTAGCAACCCCATATATTTGGTTTGACATTTTGGGGATATCATTTGAAGAGTGACTTTTTATTGGGTTGCGTAGCAACCCTACATATTTGGTTTGACATTTTGGGGATATCATTTGAAAAGTAACTTTTTGCGCACTCTTTGGAGCACCAGTTTGAACGTTTTTTTACTGTGTTCAAATGGATGCCTCAAATAGTGAATAAAAAGCATTCTTGAATGAGATCACCATATGTGAAACCAAATACCGGTGCGTATCATGTTGAAACCATGAATTTGCTCGACCGTCCCAGCTGTGAAATGTTTAAAAGGAAGAAGAGGGTGGTTGCACTAGCAAGAATGAGGATACAAATAGCAAACCCTAGAAGGGTTGTACTCGCTATAGAGCACCCCACTACAGGCTAGAGCATAATATTCTGACACACCCCCATAGCCAAAGTGGGGTGTAATCAGCAGAGCAAGCAAAGCAGTACAAGCTCAGGGTGGATCACAATGTCACCACACATTCTGAGCACAAGTTCAAGAAGCAATAGTTTAAAGTTCACAATTATGAGCAAAGCTAGTGGTAGTCACAACGGGCAAGTGAGGAGGAGGAAAGAGACTATGAGAGGAGAGGAGGTAGTGGGCGGCAGCTGAAGCTGCTGGCACACGGCGCAACTGGAGCAACTGGCACACGGGCAACTGGAGCAACTGGCACACTGGCAACTGGAGCAACTGGCACACGGGCTACTGGAGTAACTGGCTCCGCGGCTAAAAGTAGCGGCAGACGAGCAACGGACTCACGGGCGACTGGAGCAACGGGCTCACGGGCGACTGGCGCAACGGGCTCACGGGCGACTGGCGCAACGGTCTCACGGGCGACTGGAGCTGCTGGCTTCACGGCGGCCACCCCCTTCAACCTCCCCAAACTATCCCACTCCCCCTGACACACACCCGCTGCTACACCGCTAGCTCCACTCCCCCTTCACCCCCCCTTAGTACCACTCCAACGGCTCCAACAAGTCCACCCCCCCTCAGCGGCAGCTGCAGCACAGGGAGACGGAGGAGGAGGAGGAGCAGGGAACGGCACACAGTGGCTTCACCCCCATATCCCTCACCCCCAAACCCTAATTCAGGAGAACGGGCTGTAGGAGGGGTGGGGCGCCAGTAGAAGCACGGGGGACAGCGGGGAGGGCAGGGGCAGCGAGGAAAGGGCCGCCCACGGGCCTGGCACAGCCGCCCGAACCGCGCGCAGGCGGCCCGAGCCGCGCGCGGGCCTGGCGCAGCCCGTACGGGCCGCGCGCGGGCCTGGCGCAGCCCGTACGGGCCGCGCGCTGGCCTGGCGCAGCCCGTACGGGCCGCGTCCGGGCCTGGCGCAGCCCTTACGGGCCGCGCGCAGCCTGTACGGGCCGCGCGCAGGCCACGACGGGCGACGGGGGGCGACGCGCGGGTCCCCGTCGCCCGTCGCAGCGCCTCCCGAGGGCGACGCGCCGAGTGACGGGGCAGAAGCCCGCCGCGCGCCTCGGGGCGCACAGCGGGCAGAGAACCGCCGGGCGCCACGGGGCGCACGGCGGGCAGAAAACCGCCGCGCGCCTCGGGGCGCACGGCGGGAAGAAAAACTGCCGCACGCCACGGGGCGTGCGGCACAGAGGGTAGCAGTGGAAGTTGCAGCGGAAGCAACGAGGTGGTGAGCCCACCCACAGGATCGATCCAAGGGGATCGACCTGCTCTGATAGCATGTGAAATGTTTAAAAGGAAGAAGAGGGTGGTTGCACTAGCAAGAATGAGGATACAAATAGCAAACCCTAGAAGGGTTGTACTCGCTATAGAGCACCCCACTACAGGCTAGAGCATAATATTCTGACACCAGCATCGTCGATAAATTCGGCGGATGGTACGGCCGATCATAATATTCCGGTATCAACGTGAACGAATGTAATTGTACAAATGAACAACAAAGTATGAGGTGGTGTGGATCCTTCAAAGTGAATGTTAAGATGCATCATGTAGCAACAGAGGTTGATGGGGTCGTTGAAACAGCGAAAACACGCTGCCCCAAAGACGATTAACAACCTCTAATTTCAACCGTGAAAGGGACGGATAATGTACATCTTGGGCTTGGTTGGGGTTGTCGTCAAGCTTGCGACATTTTTTCTGCCAGCGCAGAACGAGGAACTGAAATGTTTTATATACGCTGTACATGGGACTATTGTCAAACATATGTTATAGCCTGTTTAGGCTGTAGTGGGTTAGACAATAGGGGGTACATCATTTCTAGGGTTTCCCTATATGTACCCATCTCCTTTCTAGTTCAATCATTCCTCGCATTATTCTCACATGGTATAGAGCGGGTTCCCTAGTGGGACCGGTTTTTTTTTTTAAGGGCCCACCACTACGAATTTTTCTTACCTGCCCGAAGCGCGCTTCGCGCTTGCCTTATTTGCGCCCCGTGCGCCTGCCCTCCCGTCGCGCGCTCTGCCCTTAGCGGCCCTGCCCTTAGCGGCCCGTCGCGCCCTTTAACGGCCCGCCCTTAGCGGCCCTGCCCTTCGCGACCCGCACCCGTCGTCGCCGCCCTTAGCGGCCCGCCCGCGTCGTGGCCGCCCCTAGCGGCCCGCTCGCGCTGTCGTCGCCGCCCTTAGCGGCCCGCCTGAGCTGTAGTCGCGGCCCTGCCCCACCCGCCTGCTGCGACCTGCTTTCGCCACCCGCACGGCCCTACCCTGCCGCGGCCCTGCTTTGCCGCGGCCCTGCCTTACCGCGGCCTCGGTGCCGCCCTACCCTGCAGCAGCCGTGACGCGGCCCCGCCCTGCAGCCGCCCAGTCGCGGCCCGGCCCTGCCGTCTCGTCCCGGCCCTGCACTGCCGCCTCGTTACGGCCCCGCCTGTCGCGGCCTCTGCCCTGCAGCCGAGTCGCCGCCCTGCATTGCCGCCCCGAAGCGGCCCTGCCCTGCCTGCGAGCCACGGCCCTGCCCTGCCAGGTGCAGCCCTACCCCGATCCGCCCTGGTAAGCGCCGCCCTTCCTAGCCGCGCCGCCCTGCCGAGCCGCGCCGCCTAGCCGAGCCGCGCCGCCCTGCCGAGTCGCGCTGCTCCTGCTGCTGCTACTGCTACTGCTACTGCTGTCATGGCTAGCCCTAACGTACTTACCTTCGATGCTGAGGGTCGAGCGGTCGATTTTGAGGTCTGGGTCGATGATCTGCAGCTGTTTCTGCAGTGCGATAGCAAGGATGGAGTCTCACTTTTTGACCTCACGTCTGGCGCCTCTGCTGCACCTGCTGCTGATGCTGCCAATACTGTTCGCTCACAGTGGACCACGCGCGATGCTGCTGCCCGTCTTGCTGTCCGTAGTCACCTGCCGTCTGCTGAGCGCGCACACTTTAGCCAGTACAAGACTGCTATCACTCTGTACACTGCTGTTGTTGCGCGCTACTCTTCCCCTGCCACAGCTGCCCTCAGCCGCCTCATGCTGCCGTACCTGTTCCCTGACCTAGCCGCTTTTGCCACAGTCGCTGACCTCATTACGCACCTCCGCAATAGTGACACCCGCTACCGCGCTGCGCTTCCTACCGAGTTCTGCGCCGCGACCACCCCCCCTATGTACATCACTCTCTACTACCTCGTCACCCGGCTCCCTGACTCCCTTCGCTCGGTCAGGGACCACTTCCTCTCCCTTTGCCCCACCACGCTCACCGTTGACCTCCTCGAGGAGCGCCTCCTTGCAGCTGAGAAGAGTATCGTCGCTGTAGGAGCCTCTCATGGTGACCCTCGTGCCCCTTTCTTTGAGGGGTGCTCCCCCGTCCCTCTTTTGCCCTCTGTTGCCTCTGCTGCTGCTGTCGACCTCGTTGGCACCGAGTCGGTC